GTCTGTCTTCGATGGCTTGCTTTGTTTGACAACCGTTCCCAGAAGAATCCAGAACATATGACCCAGTCGACGACCATCAGATCGGACTTCAGTCTGTCAATACCGAAGGCAGAGCTTTGGATCCTTCCAGAGGGGTCTTAACATTCTGAATTACGCAAACCAACCTCCAGTTCGAAAAGGAAAAAGAAAAAGAAAAAGAAGCAGGGTTCCCGCCACAACCACCACGGAGGCCGCAGGACCAAGAAGAAGTGCTTTGCTTCGTAAAGGATTGCCGTTGCTTGCTCAGGGTCAGAAGGGCCAGGGAAGGGGAAACCAAGGAAAGGAACCGAATGGGGCAGCCACGGTTTTGTCGGAGCCGGAGTTGTGTGCCGCTGTTCATCACGTGATCCATGATGATGATGAAGACATTTTGACAGTGACGTCGTTTGATTTTTCCGATTTGGGAGAATTTTCAAAACAGGGTTTTGGAGGAACCTGTGGAAGTTGACCAGGGTTTCGGCGAACGAGGGTCTGCGTGAAGAGGGTCCAGGGTTTCCGCGGTCTGTACAGCACTTAGCAGCAGTAGCCCACGACAGCACTACAGACACCCAGCATGAACATGTCCATGTGCATCATGTTTCCTCTGCGCCGCTCGCTGCCGATGGGAGCTCTGAGGGGAGCTACGTGTTGCTCGACTCAGGAGCCTCGGTGCATCTTGTTGCTGAGTGCAAGTTTTCCAGCGGTGCTGCAGAGCTTTTAGAAGTTTTGGGTGATAGTGGTGTGGGCTGTGTCACGGCCACCGGGGAGGACATTCAGATTCGCCGTCGTGCCAGGGTTAGGGTTAGGTTGGCCTTAGCTTCAGGTAACGGATCTCCTCCTGCAGGTTTTGTGCCGGTGACTTTTGAAGCCTTGATTGCACCTGTGCGCTTCAGCCTTCCCTGGGCCTCCTCTTGAAGAAAGGTTGGTGGGTTGATTTCAGCTTAGCTGAGGTCTTTGGTCCCAAGAACAAAGGGAAGCCCAGGAGTGAGCTGCATGTGGATAAGTTTCAGAGCTTTTTTTTGGTTGACCGCGAGCCGCTTTGTGTCCGAGACTTCGCGCCCTTCATTTTCTGGTGCCTCGGTGTCCCTTGTGCAAGATGTCCCTGTCCAGCTCGGAAGAGGAGGTGGTTCAGGACTGGCGCCGCCCGGAGTTGGCAGCGACGGTGGTCGTGGACTCACCGGAGGGCGAGGGTCAAGGGTCGTCGAGTCAGGGTCCAGGGTTGTCGCGTCAGGGGCCAGGGTTGTCGAATCAGGGTCCAGGGTTGTCGCGGCAGGGTCCAGCAGCGTCAGGGACAGAGGGGGTCGCGTTGAAGCCGAGGGTCGATCTTGTTCCGTCGGTGTTGGCGAGCCTAGCAGCGGAGTACATGTCGACGGTGTCAGAGGGAACCTCCCACGAGGATCTGGAGGTGATCACCAGGGCACCAAGGGGAAGCGTTGCAAGGGTTACAGTGCCGAGCGAGAAAAGAAGCCCGAGCCCAAGGTAAAGCGGATGCCAAGAACACCGGCCGTGAAGGCGATGCCTCGTGTGAGGGCGTTCCTCAAGCCCCGCGTGGACGCTATGGTGAAGAACAAGCCGCTGGGCAAGAACTGGAGGCCTTACCCGAGAATCCCGAGAAATCGGGGAAAGAAGGGTTCCAGGCTTCAGGGTCAGGGCAGAGCAAGGGCGTGGAGATGGTGGATGCGGAGACCCAGACGCCGAGGCTCAGGACAGTGGCGCAGCATGGTGCGGCCCACGAGAGGATCGTGAAGTACGCCAAGCCTTTTGCCGAGTTCCTGGAGGCGAAGGGGTCCAGCAAGGAGTTTCAGGCTCAGGCCGTTTTTCCCAGGCTGTCTTTGAAGGTGGCAGCAGGGGCGATGGAGGCCGAGACAAGGAGCTTGGTGATGTTGGTGGACCGGTCCAGCTACGAGAGCGAGTCTCAGAGGAACACGGGTTCGCGGCTGAATTTGCCGCCTCCTCCACCACCGCCGTCGGCACCACGGTGGTTCGAAGTTGGGTCAGGGAACAGTCCGGGAACGAGCTCAGCAACGCCGGGAACCAGCTCGACAACGTCGGGAACCAGCAGCTCAATGCCACCAGAGACGCCGCCCAACCGGCCGCCAATTCAGGCAACAACTCCATCAGGAGTGCCTCTCCCTCCGGGAGTCACATGGAACGACCTGTGATGGCTGTTTTGAGGGATGAGCATCAGGGGTATCTGTCGCCAAGTGATTTTTCTCAGCTGCAGAATGAACACATCCTTCGATCCCACATCCCCTATTACTATAACTCAAGCTGTGAGGAGTGTCAGCGTGGTCGTGGCGTTTTTCCGCAGCGGAAACTGAAGGAGGAGCAGAAGGGTCGCAGGGAGATACAAGCAGATAAGTTTTGGTTCCGAGGTGTGGCCATGCTTGTGCTTGTTGCAGTTGGTGTTGGCATGCTGGGGTCGATTGCGTGGCAGACCGAGAGAGCATGGTGACATCCTTTGTTCGGTGGTCGCATTCCGCAGGGCTTGCAGGGTCAGGGGAAGTGATCATCACGATGCGTTCAGATGGGGAGCCTGCTTTGGTGTCGTTCCTAGAGCGCTGTTGCCGGGAGTTGCCGAATGCTTTGCTTGAGCAGGTGCCTGTTGACCGCCATGCGCCCAACGCCGAGAGGGCGATCAGGACATTGAAGGAGTTGGCTCAGGTGCAGCTGTGTTCTCTTGAGAAAGTAGGGTTGACTGTCGCGTCCGGAGGGATTCCTTATCTGTTTTCACATTTGAGCGTAGCCCAGATCGCTACCATTTGGATGAGGGTTCTTCTTTGACTCCGCAGCAGCGTTGTTGCCAGAAGCGGTTGCCTGCACACCCGACATATATCTTTGGAGCTTCTGTGTTGTGCCTGCCGCCCCCGTCTGTTGCCCATCTTGTGAACCGTCGCCTCTGCAAGGGATCCTGCATGGGGCCAGAAGTTGCGTCAGGAAGCCATTGGGTCAGGGTTCAGTTGAACAACGGAGAGCGAAGGGTGGTGAGATCACCCAAAGTTCGAATGATAATGCCCTTGAGGTATGAGGTTGGCCTGTTGCGAGGGGTTTGCCGTCTTCTTCCAGGGAGGGAACCGCCTGCTGAGGCACCGCCGGTGGATCCGGACAGCTTGGCTGCTCTGCCGTTGCCCAACGCGAACACCAGAGGACCTCCGAAGACTTGGGTTGAAGAACATGGCAGGACACCGCGTTGCCGTGCATGTAAGATCAAGGGTTTTGACATGGACAAGGCCTTGCACACACCAGCTTGTATGGCGAGATACGCCAAGTACCTCAGGGAAGACTTTGATCCCACCGGTGCGCTTGAAAGGGACCGGGAGATAGATGCCGAGTTGGGGTTTGATGCTTCGGTCCCGGACCTGGGGGATTTAGGTTTTGAAGGTGACCTTGACAAGGTCGTTGAGTTGCCTGGTGATGTTATGAGGGTTGATGATGACGGTGATGATTCACTCTACCCAATAGACCAGCTAAGTCAAAAAAGTGGGAAATATCTAAAACGTAAGATTTTAGATTTGCTTCATTTAAGCTTTCCCTTCATATCTAAAATGAGGGCGTAGAAAATATCGATTTCGTGTGGCGCAAAGCTAAAATTCCGAAGCCAAAATGTCACCACGAATCTAATTCAAACCAAAACTGCTAAGGGAAGTTTGGCGGAAGTTTCCCCTAAACTGCTTCTCAAACTGCTTACAAACTGCCGCACTCTGGTTAGCAGTTTAAGGGCTCCAAAAACAAAACTGCTACTAAACTGCTCTTCGCTTTGGTGGTGTTTTTGGAGACAATACAAACACACACGGACACACACACACACACACACTCACACACATACATCATCCTCGTTCATATTAGGATATACACACAACAGACAGACAGACACACACACACACACACCACAAATAGACAACACAACACAGACAAAAAGCACGAACCAAACACACAACAAATACATGGACACACCAAACACAAGACAGACACACACAGACACACACACACCCACACACCCACACGCCCACACACACACACACTCTGAAAACACACAAAAAGAAGCAAGCAAGCAAGCAAGC